GTTTCATGACAAAATGGCCACTACAAAGAAAGTGGGTAGTTATAGGGCGATCAAGCAGTTTTTTAGAGCAGTTAATCATAAAGGGATCGTCTATGAAGTATAAAAGGGAGAAAGGACATAGAAGCAAAGGATCGAATCAAAAACTCTCGAACAGAGAATATGTAATTTTCATTTCTTTAGCTTTTAGACTTAAACACTTTCCTTTCTGTAACTCGTGTGCTTGCGCCCCTTGGAGGCACGTTGTTTTCCGTTTCCAATTGTAAAGTTCATCGCCAATAAAAGAACACCCCTTTTTGGGACTTTGTCTCAAGAGGTTTCGTCCCTTACACAATCGTCTGATCATCTTTAATTGTTAGCGAGTTAACCCGCGCGAAACAATCCCATTCTTTCCTGGTTTTCCCCCCACATATGCCATCCCCCCTTCTCAAAACTCATACAAATGTTAACTTCAATTGAGGATGACCACTAGAGTAAGATGGAGTTCTGTGCCTAAGGTTCCTAAAGTACAAGATGAGGAGGATAATGATTAGATTGAGAATGGATCTAAGGATACTGATGGGTCTCTTTCGACATATGATAATGATGGAATTGATGGTAGGAAAAGGGAACCTAAACACAGTACTAATGTTTGTGTAGATGAATTTGGAAAAATTCCTTTAACTGTAGGAGAAAATGGGTATTTATCTAAACTTTTTTTTTTTTTTTTTTTTTTTTTTTTTTTTATTTTTTTTTTTTTTTTTTTTTTTTTTTTTTTTTTGGGATTTCAGTTTGAATGCAAAATGGTATTGTTTTTTTTTGGACTCCAGAAATTTTTTTGTATTCTTTAGGCATTTATGCCTAACCTGTTTACTCTAACCACCCTATCTAACCTTCTTGAATGCGTGTGGGTAGCGTAGTAGCTCTGCGAATCCCCATTCGATGCTTATACTAGTAGTCTCAAATCCAGCGAAGAACGTTTCTTGTAAATTAGCCAACAGTCAATAGTGATGGTCAATTCAGTATACTAAAGGAGTTAACTAGTAACTCTAAAAATGATACATTTCGACTTGTTAGATCAATTTATTTCACCATTAATAATGACATATCTTTCTTCAAAATCCAACTTGTTCGTTTTTATCTCAATATTTCTTCAAATCAATACAAATAAGTGTAAGTTACGAATTTCATTTTCTCTCTCTCCAACACTGTCCTCACCTAGTTTTCTCCGAATTTATATGTACAGATGAACTTGAATTCACTATCACCATGAAAAACACGGTATAAAGAAAAGTAGGAAAGAATTAAATACCATGATAACAATGTTGACATTGTGTTCTGTCATTCCATCACCTTCACACTCGAATAACACATCAAGAAAGTCTTTTTTTCATGGAATTTGCCTGCTTTCCTATTGTCGAGCCCCTCTGCACGAACTTGGAAGAAATTTTCATCGTTCTAGTCTATGTTTTGCTCCTATTTTGAGAATTTGTTTAGCTATGTATTGGATGAAGTTGTACTGTACATGGTATTTTTTGGATGCTTAATTCGTTATTCATTCTTACATTTGATGCATTACTATATGTGCAATCTAGTAATTTAACCAAATCGGTTTTACTGAATTACATTTCATTTGATGCATTACATGTATAATGTTGTAAGATATAAAATTCAGGTTTATCGATATCAAATTATGTAGCATGCAATATTTTACGCTGTTCATTAAGGTTTGGTGAATGTAATTGGATCATGTAACATTTTTTGTTGTATTTTCTCACATATTTAGCACTTTGATATAATGAATTATATATTTACTGGCATTCATCAACTACCTTAATTTGAAGATCTACATCAATTCAGATTATGGATTTATGATTCACAATAACTTGCTATTCCATCAAAGATGTGAATCATTTGATCAAGATTTATATACTATCCCTTTCTTTACAGATGTTTATGAATTTGTAATACAAATTCATGTCCTAGATTCAGACATGTCTTGATTTTTTGAAAGATGTAGAATATCCCATTTGAGCATGCCTTTTGAACCTGTATTAAAAAGGAAATAGATCCCAAATGAAGCATAAACCAGAATTAGCCAACCGATAACATCTATTCATAATCATTTCTGCACATCTCTATTTCAAAACTACAGCTCAAACACTATCCAAGTACTTATTCTTTTACGAAGACCAATCAAATCCGAAAATAAATAGTGCCTAAAAACATGTACCATTTGAGAACTGATGGTCTTATATAACAAAGACAGACATGGATTTAAAAAAACTTAGTTCAAATAGGCACAATATTCCACTCATTTTTGGAGTCACATTCTCTACTTTAAGTCAAATATGAAAAAGTCATCATGTTTTATCTTTATATTCAGCATTTTGTGTCTGAAATTAAGTTAAAAAAACACCAGCATGATTGTCTTCATATTCAGTATGTTAGTGTAAGTCTTCATTCACTTGGTAGAGGGTTTTAGATGTTCCAAAATCTTTATTTGTTGTACTACACATTTTCCAAGCAATGATGATATATTTTAACTAATTCTTTTTGTTTGCATTAGTACTTCATATACACAAATCAAAAGCCAATTTTTTTATACGCATAATGTTAGAGATATCATGACTTCAGTACGAGGAATTTATATACATTGTGCGTGACATGCTATTTGATTTATTCCTAATCAAGAATCTTAAAAACTAAACTCTTCATCTATTGATTGTTTTCAACATGAGAAATTAGGCAAGCCACCTACTGCTTCACAGCTATTCGAACGTGTACACCGTCGAAACAAAGGAGAATGAGACTTTGTAGACAACAAGTCACAAATTGTGTGGGTAAGTAGAAATAAATTCAGTTTTGATTAGATTCTACACTCTAAATTTCATGTTATTAGCTAGCTAGTCCTAGACGCTAAATGGAGGTTGAATGATTACCTTCTTTTTTGTTATTTTGTTATTTTTTATTATTTTGGATTTTAATGAAGAGCGCATCTCTTCTTTTTTTAATAGAACTCATTTTCTGTCTAATGTTGAAGAAAAACTACAATCCAAATAGAAAACACTGTTAAAAAAACATAAAAGTGTCACTAGAATTTGAGTTGTTGATACTTAAAATGTGGCTTGAATCTTCTATGTCATAATACACTGACAGATCAATTTTTCTGCTTTGTTCCTTTTTTCCATATATTGCCAATATCTTGTGCCACTTTAATGGCGTCCAAAGATGCACCAGAGAGTCCTCTCCTTATGAAACCAACTACAAATAGCCCAAATTTGCCTTTCCATCCATTTGGGAAGGCTGATTTTGGGGATTCCATGCACATTGAAAAGAACTCATTTTCCTTTAACCATGATGGGACATTATTGCAATATCCAGTTACCAAAATAACATAATCAATTTCAAGAATTTTTCCATTAATAATACATTGGCATGAGAAAATTCTTGATTCCAGGGACTATTTAGATTTCACCAGTTCTAATTTTTTTATGGGTACCTATATCCAACACAGGGGTCTCCCTTTTGTGTCCTTTAGCTGTAATGGACCTATACTTGGCCTTTTAACCTCATACTGTTCTATATTTCCAAGAATTAGCCTAACTGCTGCCAGTAGTACTTTATCTATTGCCCAAATTGGCAGCCACTTCATTGAAACTGCTAAATCAAATGTTGATTTACCAAGACTGTCCCTCGGCGATACATGAACCGAGCTTTGAACTACCATCACTTTACAAGAGGACTTTCATTCTGCTTGTAAGAAGATAGATCAACTTACAAAGGAAAATGAGGGATTACATCAAAAAATGGAAAATGGTAGGCAAGAAGAAGAGAAGAAGCACATTGAATTCGAACAAACGATACTTTGAATGTTAGGAGAAATAAATGGATCACAGATTAATCATTTGAGCACAGTGATTTTCAATGATTGAGCATAGTAAATGCTTATTTTGTTTATAAAACTTTATCATTGAATGTTTAGAACTTCCTTTCGCTAATTGAACAAGTGTATAATTTAGTATTGACTTTTGAAATGGAATCAAAATTGATCTAATTTTTGTAACTTTGGACCTTAAACTAATGGAATGAAAATATTTGTATTTTTTATTTGTTTATTTATGATTTTATTTTATATATTTTTAAATTTTAAATAGTTTTAATTCAGAATGGAAATATATTAATATAATAATTAACGAAATTATTTTAAACTATAATCCAAATTTTCAAACGAAAACAACGGAAGGTTTGTAGCTATTGAGGAACAATTAGTGCCATATAAAATAACTTGGTAGTTAGCGACGGCAACAGCAAGGAAAGATTCGTAGCTATTTTAGAGACAAGTATTAAAGCATCGTTAATCACAAACAAATTAGTGACGAAAATTTTCGTCTACAATTAGCTACGTCAACATTTCATTGGTAAACAGCGACAATTTTTTTCCATCACTATTACCGACGGTCAATATAATCCGTCGCTACATTTATCGACGGGGTGTTTGCCGACGAATTTTACCGACAGATGGATTCTGTCTCAAAAAGTTATTACCAACGAATTTCATGGCTTCAGCGACAAATAATTCCGTCTCTGAAACTGCATTTTTTTGTAGTGATCCCATTCAGGGCGAGGCCAGCAAGTGTTGGGTTTAATGGATATTTTTGTCATCTCTACTTGGATCCAACTTTAACAAATCTCCACTTTGAAACAAATTCCACGCAATGAATCAAATTTCAAAAATTCTCTAACTGAAGACAAATTTACCGCTAGGCAAAATCAAACTCTTCAACAAGAACATTAACCAAATTCTCCAACAATGAATATTCTCCACATCTTCAACAAAATCCAACTACGATAAATGAATCCAAGCACTGGTCAAAAAAATTACCTCCAGTTCCCAAAACTTGCTTGAATTATTGACACAAGTGACAAAATCACTAAATTAACAATTATCAAATAGGGCAACACCATGCATTGAAACATAATCATTACCACAAAATGCTTTTATAGAAAGTTCTTCGCTATACTCAATAGCTTCAACTATATTTAAAGCATATACAACTATATCAGCTTCCTCGTACCTATGTGGAGACCTAATATATCTTCTGGATCTATCTCTACCGATTGAATACGTTGACACCGCTGGTGGTAGCAGTATTATCCTTAACTTTTGAATTCAACTAAGTTGTATTCTTCAACATGGATTCCGAACCAAACTTCAATGATACTATACCAAATGGAATATCTACCAAAGCACAACATTGCAAGACATATAATTGTTAATTGGGACTTTAGCTATCCCTCCAATACAACACGAGCACCTTTTAAACTTTCAAAACTCCTTATTCAGTAATGAACTTACATTCTTTTGAATTAAGAGTAGTCAATGAGATAAGATTTTTCTTCAAATCTGGAATGTGTCTCACTACAGCAAGTATACTGACCATTACATTCAACATCTTAAGTCTAACTCTTCTAATACCAGCTATCAGACAAGTCGTTTTATTATTGGTCGCCAAAACACCTTTGAAAGCTTTTTCACATATTGAAAACAAATTCCAATTGGGATACATATGAAAAGTGTAAGTTGTATCAAAAATTAAATTATCATCAGATTTAGAGTCGCCGTAAAAATAGCCAAAATATCTCTATCACTCAAACAGTTCTCTATAACACCGTCTTTACCTAAAATATCTAATTGCTTTCCCTTATAATTTGTAGTCAACTTTTCATTATTTTGCAACTTGTGGCAATCCTTCTTAATATGTCCACTCTTCTTGCAATAATTACAAACTTGATTACTGAAGTTAGACTTCGATTTGCCCCTTTCATAACCACCATAAACAATAAAGCCTCCTCTATGAGCTTCAGAATCATGTTGCATATTCTCTTTCGAGAACAAGGCATCATACACATCTTCAATGGTGATAATATCACAACTATATAAAATCATATCTCTAAAGGACATAAACGAAACGACCAACGAACACAATAAAATCAAGGTCAAATCTTCTTCATCATACTTAACATCCAAGGTCTCCAACTCAGTGATAATTTCTTTAAAAATAGCAAGGGGATATTTCGAAGATCCATCTTTTATCATGCGATGAGAATACAAATGTTGCTTCATGTGCAATTTACTAATTAGACTCTTAATCATGCACAATTGCTCTAATTTCAACCATAATATGGATGCGATTTTTTCCTTCAAGACCTCCTAAAGAATGTGATTCGAAAGATAAAGATGAATTTGTGAAAGGGTGTTTCAATCATTATGTTGTTTCTCCTCCAACGACCAATTTAAGGGCATCTTGTCAAATCCCTATAAGTGGTCGTCCAAATCCATTTGAGCAAGCATTGATCATATCTTCTTGTCACAACGAGAATCTTGTATTGCAAACCAGAAGTAGAATATCATATTTCAAGGTTGTCATCCCAAAAAGAAAAAAAAAACTCAAGATTACTAGTTGTTGGAGAATTAACAAAAATTATTTATGCATTTAACCATGCCGCTTGTTAATAGCATGCAAGATATATGATAGAATATGAAGTAGCGATCACAACACACACACACACACACACAAAAATGAAAAACAATAAAATTAGTAGAGGAATGGAGAATTTGTTAATAATGGAGAAAGAATCAAAGAATATTATGTTTACAATATATCTAACTTATGTAATGTGTTTAACTTGTAAAGAAGGACCAACTATATAATGTACATATCAAAATTCTAACAATATTCTTAAAGATAAAAAATAGTATCAAAAAATGTGTAAAATAAAGGAAACAATACTCGTCCAAAAATCAAACCGAATTTGGGTCAAACTTTAACAATTGAGAAATTGGGTTTAATTCTTCGAGATGATGAAAAAACTCAATCAAACCTTTATCCCATTTTTGTGGCGATTGCTTCCTATTGAATTTTTGAAATTGCTTTCGATATAGAAATGCAATTAATGCAGTCGTGCAATGTCATGTTTATATTTCAGTTACAAAGTGTATAAGAGTAATTATTAAAAAAAAAATTATAATGTTATTTTAGATACTATATAGTATTTTAGATAAATAAATCTAACAAGAAATTCTTTTTTTTCATTAGGCAAAACAATTCACATATACACTAAAAAAAAAAAACTATACTAGTTTCAAGCTTACTTTTAAACTATTTTTATTCACATATAGAACATCACACAATTACATAAACGGGTGGTGACGCGCGATTTGAATTCAAATTATTTATTTAATCCAAAATCATGTAAGATGACTTTGTCTAAAATTGAATTTGGACTCCAAGGGATAAAGAAGCCTTATCACGTCAAGTTTCTCTAAAATCTTTTTTAATCAGGCAAAATATTTGGCAAAAAAAATAAATAAAAATTCAAATAGACTTATAAGTATCTTCTTATTCTTAAACTTAAAAGTGATTTCTGACATTTTAAAAATTTATGCCTAACACGCGCAAAGACAAATTTAACGGTCAAAATTTTTAAATATAATGATACTAATTGTAGAATTTGTCAAGAATCTTTTAGTCATGACCACCAGCCATAAGCCCTACTATGTGGAGGTTTGGCCCCCCGGGGCATATCTCAGTGGTGCAAAGGACAATGGTGAGGTATACTCAGCCTTGTTAGCAGCCGCAGTGTGAGGGTTCGATTTCTGAAACATGTATTAAGACTCTTTGTAGGCACCAGTGTACAGGCAACTTTTGTTCCCTGACCTGTCGGGACATATCCCGCGATTAACCTTTCTCACGATACTCCAGGGACGGGGCGATGGAGGACCCTTAAGATTGAAGTTCAACCTTCTTTTTTACTTTGTGGAGGTTTGTATCAATTTAATTATATAGGTATTTAGTTTCGACATAGTGGGATTTGAAGATCTGAACGAAATTGTCTATTCTCGTCTTTTTCATATGTGCATTCTATCATTGCAATGGAATTGCTCCTCCTCATCATTATGGGATTTGGACTTGAGTTAATAATCAAACCAGAAAATCATGTCTTTTAGTCCTCTCATATTCTTTATATGAAAAGATAAAATTAGAAACATTCTTTGACATTAAAAATTACACTATCTTTACATGGTTTTAGTTGTTAGTATCATATACACTCTGGTGATACTTAAATGCTTTTGTGAAAAAGAAAAAAATAAATAAATAAGAAGAAGTAGAAGAAAAGAAACATGAAATTTTCTACGTTCTACCATTAGTTGCAAATTAAATTTCTCTCTTTCGATTAATATTTAAAGACTACTCATACATAGTTCTGAATATGCATATTAGTTAAAATTTAAACCAAATTTTTGAAAAATTTAGAAACAAATTATTTAATTTTTTTTAATTAATTGTGTATATATTTTGTATACATAATTTAAATGTTTTCATACTCATAAATTTATAAACTAAAACAAGATGCTCTATATAAATAAATGTTCAACTATGTCGAACAAGCTCTACATATAACGTGATAATATATATTCTTATAGTTTACCATGGGCAAATTAACTAAAGCTAATGTACAGTTTTACAAGTTTAGCGGGCAAAATTCGACCACACTTAAAAGTATAGTGGGCAATCAAAGACCCTTTTAAAAGTAAATTGAACAACCAAAGACGTCTTTCTTACGTGATAATTTATATAACAATGTTTGGGCGTCACAAGTACACTCTATCTACCATTTCACTAATTTCATTAGAATAGTGAAACGGATGTCATGCTGTGAGTAACA